ACATTTTTTCCAAAAATAATTTATAATCTGACAGTCAATATGCAAAAGGAGAAAAATCAACTGAACAGTAGCTCCTGCTTTCTTAATCACCTAATTTTCTTCATGGAAATGGTTCAGGGAATGCAGTGGGCAGGAGTTTAAGCCAGAGATGGCTCAGACAGATTCATCATGAGAAAGTAATTACAATAACTTCCTGCAGTGCAAAATATCAGTGAAATTCAATGAGTAAATAACACAGTAACAAATATCCCTATGTATGTATTTCATAGGTATGACAGTCATTGTATACCAACAAAAACAGGTTTGTACTTATTTTTTCACACATTCATATGTTCATTTATAGCACTGAAAAATTCCATTTTACAAATCATCTCAGGGGGATAGTTCTAAAAGAAACTTATAAAGTGGGATTACAGTGGCATGAATTCTTGAGAGTATTTCAAAAATTCTTCTACTATCAAATGTTTCCTTATGAGACTTAACCTTGATACTACACTAAAAGGCAGTTTTAATTTGTGTATAAACCAAAAAAATTTTTTTTGGTCCACTTATTCACATCACAGCTCTAAATTGTCCATTACGAGAGAAAAAAAAAAAAAGCAAAAAAAGAACTTTTAGAAAAGAAAACACAATAATCTGGAATACTTCAGTATTTTGTGTAAATTAGTAAACAATATAACTTGCTGAATATATTTTAAGAAAGTGGTTCAAGCACACAGTGAAAATGCTAACTTAAAAAAAAAGTTACTATGCAACACAGTTTTAATCTATTTTAATCAGTATCTACAATACTCTTGAAACCAGCATTGTCTTTCCCGGTGCCATTCCTCACAAATAAAGAATTTAAACTGACAATATAGATAAGACTTTCCTGCTATAAAGTTAATCACCAATAATATTTTTTATAGTTAATTTACAGATAAGAGTCTCTCTAGCCTATTGGGATAGATCAAAAATTGCAATTAACAGGGTTGCAATGAATAAGGGTTACATTCAAAAGAACTTGGTTTTATATTTATACTATGTGCTAAAAAACAAACAAACAAAACAAAACTTGCCGATAAGTAGATAAATTGACCAATTGATTTCTGTTTGTTCTTTCTTTTTATGAGAAACATCTGAGTTGCTAATGAGAGCTGATGGGGTTCAGGACAGGCCACCCCAAAATGTGCTATGTTGGCATACTGATTTTTTTTTCTTGTTGATAGTTGTTTATTTTATTTAATTTATTTTTTAACTTTTTATTTTATATTGGTGTACAGTTGATTAACAATGTTGTGTTAGTTTCAGATGTACAACAAAGTGATTCAGTTATACATATACATGTATCTATTCTTTTTCAAATTCTTTTCCCAATTAGGTTGTTACAGAATATTGAGCAGAGTTCCCTGTGCTATACAGTAGGTCCTTGTTGGTTATCCATTTTAAATATAGCAGTGTGTACATGTCAATCCCAAACTACCCCTCCCCCCAACCCTTCCCCCATATTGATTATATTGAATTAAAGTTACTTAAGAAACAGCTGGTGAAAGAAAAATACTCTGAGCCTCTTTTGTTTGCCTGAAAGCAGGGACTAATTCCCTCATGTGAAGGTATCCTCCCTATACCAGGAAGATAGAAGGCATCCTTATCACCAGAGATAGGGAATTCAAGGCCAAGAAAGCAGTATAAATAAGCTTTGTTACTTCATTATTTTGGAACTGCAAGCCCAAACCCCTTTGTTTTTTCAAATCTTCACAAATAATTGTTTCTTTGTCTAAAAGGTATAAATGCTGCCTGCTTTGGTCACTTCTTTGGGTCTCATTCTTACGGGGCTCCCATACTTACATAATTAATTTTTTTTCTCCTGTTAATCTGCCTTCTGTCACTTTAATTACAGGCATACCTCATTTTATTGCTCTTCACTTTATTGCACCCTGTGGATACTGTGTGTTTTGAAAATTGAAGGTTTGAGTCTACCCTGCATCGAGCAGGTCTATCAGCACCATTTTTCCAACAGCATTTGCCTACTGCATGTCTCTGTGCCACGGTTTGGTAATTCTCACAATATTTCATAATTTTTTATTATTATATTTATTATGGTGATCTGTGATCAGTGGTCTTTGCCATTACCACGATGACTCATTGAAGGCTCAGATGATGGACAGCATTTTTTATCAATAAAGTATTTTTTAATTAAGGTATGTACATTTTTTTTAAGACATAATGTTATCACACACTTAAAAGACCACAGTATGGTGTAAACATAACTTTTACATGTACTGGGAAACCAAAAATTTCGTGTGACTCGCTTTATTGTGATATTTGCTTTATTTCGGTGGTCTGGAAATAAATCTGCAATATCTCTGAGGTATGCCTGCACTACCCCAGCCAAAAGAACCTAGAAAGGTAGAGGAAAAAATTTTCTTCTCCTATAGAGCCAAATGGCCACAGGGTTAGACAGGGAATATAGGAGAAACAGCAAGAGGAACACATTTACACATGGACAGCACAGTTTGTCATTCAGCATCACAGAGACCATCAGTCTTAGCACCTGGTTGACATGACTAGTAACCTGAAGTAGAAAGTTACTGGAAGGAACTTGTAAGCAATACTTATTTGTAAATCACATCAAGAACTTCTAGAACAAGATGGGGGCCCAGTTGTCTATTGGTCCTAAGGGGCTATGCTGGGAAGATCTGAGAGCAGAACCCGGTACTTCAAACTTGTTTGCCTCTTAGCATCAGCATTAAGACAATATAGATGTGCATAAAAATTTGCTCATCTCAGAGGCCCACTTAGTTACATATGTTCCTCTGCTAGATTCCTATGGATTCTGTTCTATGTTTATTCTTAACTGAATTCATTTATACGTACTCAATACTGCAGACAATCAAATCATTCAAATTTCAGTCTATTGGACCCAATATACTTTCTACTACTACTCCTGATAGGTTCTATTATTAAACGCCAGATGTTCTTTTCATAAGTTTTCCTCATTTAATCCTCATGAGAACTTTACAAAATAGGCATTTTGCCTTGATCTTACAGATGAGGAAAGCAAGTACCACCGAGCTAACAGTAATTTGCTCAAGGTCACTGAGATAAATTCACTTAATGGGATCTAAAATGATTTAGGTTCGTGTGCCCCTAACGCAAAAGGACAATGTCAAATTTTTATCAACAGGCCGAATACAAAATCTGATACTCAATAAAAATCTGTTTATTGAATAAATGAATGTCTGACTCACAAGCCATACTCATTAATGCTGACTTAAGATATGGTTTGTAATAAGGTTCTGGGTTATTTCTGGGAAAATAGTCTATCTTGCACAAATTAAAATTTAACAGTATAATTCTGAATTTATTTTAAAGTACTTTTCAAATATAACAATAACTGACATGAAGTAGGCATTTAATATTTGTTACTGGATGTTTAATCATCATCCATACACAGTTAAAAATATCACTTAGTGTATAACACCTGAGGGGCCAACTACAAAGTGTAAATAGTAACACTAATTCTTTTTCTTACAAACTTTCTTTATATAAGCTTCATATATAGCTGTTCTTTAATTTATTTTGAGTAGGAAAATGGAAATTTAGTATGAAAGAAGATAAGGTTTTTCCCCTTATAAAAACGAGCGTATAAATGAACATTTTGGTGTAACCTACAGCTACCACATTACAATGTAAGGACTTTATTTGCTCATACTATTTCAGTCATACTCACTTTTCCGTATTAAATATTCTGAACAACTCCAGATAAGAACCAACTGAATTGCTTTAGTCCAAATTAAATCCTTTGTATGGGTCCTAATCTTGTAGAGTCCCTTGTTTCTTCTGTTCTATCATCTTCTACACAGAAGTATTAGCATTTCAATTTGCCTTTAATGTCTAACACTACCTTGAATTTCAATTGTGTATCAAATCTTAGAACACAATCCAAAGAAAAGAGTTGTTAATAGTATCATTTTACATCACAAGGTTTATTCTATGGACCACATAAAAAGAATTATTTATTGCAAATCTTGTTGATATTATCCCTTTACTGAATCATCACTATTAAAAATGAGATACTTCAAGAAAGTATACTTCCACAGTTCTAAAACTAAGAAAAAATTGCTGAAAAGCTTCATGGTGTAGGGATTTTACCCCAAGATTTAAAAATACACAGTATTCAATTCAAAGCAAAATTATGACTTTCTTTTGTATATTCCATCATTGGCACATTTAATATAATATCAAAATTCAGGTTCATTATTGGATTTTTAAAAAGACGTACGTTGAGATGATAAATTAAGGCAATATGGTAATTCTTGCCTCTCAAAGAAACAGAAGAGAATATGAGGAAAGAGTGATTACAGTTTGAAAAGAATAGTACAATGTATAGATATCTATTTGAAAAGAACAGTATAGTGTAACTTTATCTTCTAAAAGAATCTTTGTACTTTGATTTTCAAAGATCACTTATGGGAATGAGTCAAAGCTCTCTTTCAGCACCATGAAATTTTACCTGATGAGTTACAGTGGTTAACAAAGGTAGAATGGCAAACTAAATAAACACCCTGCAGAGTAAGTGAAAATTGCTGAAAACTAAATATTAAATACTTAAACTCAAATCATTGTAACTATTAATAATGCCACAATGATGATGATCAGAGGAGGCTTCAGTACATCATATTGCTACCATAACAAATGGTGTATCAGATATTCACCAGTGAGAATAAGATATTATATTTATTCATTACGTTAAGTTTTAAGCAACTTCCATACTTACGATATTGTAAAAATTCTCTTATCAAAAAATCTTAACTTCTTTTCCAGAAAAAGAATGTTTCTTCCCTACCCTACATGGACCAAATGGATTCTATAAGATTGATAAATTTCTGATTTAATTTATATTACTAATCTATAATATTTTCTTTCAGGCTCTAGGTCAAAGATCCATTGTACAAGCACAGATCTGTCATATTAAAAACTACAGTGATTAACTATAAAAAAAAAACAACAGAACTTACCAACTGGTTCCTTTTGATTCTGAAAGAGAATCTTGCTATTACTGCCATCCATATTTGCCATATTAATTGTGTTTCCATCCGTCCAGTAGAGTTTCCTTAATTCAAAAGAGATATGGTTTAAAAATATTAGATATAGACCTACTTGTTGACCAGAAGCATACATTGAAGAACAAAGTTAATATTAAAGTAAATTCTTGGCTCAGGATAATTTTTTTTCAGGAAGGCCCCAGATTGTTGAGCCACTTGCCTGGGAAGAAAGTACCACTTGCTTTTTCCTGTCACTGAAGGACAAGTATCTCACTTACTTTCCCGCACCTACATTCACAACTGAATATTTAACTATGACTACAGTAAATTATTTCCAAAGTCATTCATCAAGATTGAATCCTCTTGGCTTGGAGAAATCAGGCACCAGAGAAGGGAACAAAGTCATTTCAATCATTCCAGTTGAAAGCACTCAGGAGAAAGAATTTCTTTTAGCCCTACCCAAGTTCTCTACATGGGTACATGATGACTAGCCAGAAGATGGGAGAATCTGATCTACTTAGCAGTGACCATAATACTAACACACAGTAAATATGTTATTAACAACTGGTATTTGAAATGAAATTAACAACTTCTCCTGGCATCTTTTTTTTAAAAATTCTGAGCTGTCACTCTTTAGAAACATAAATTGATAAAATTTTACAATAATATATAAAAATCTGATTTCATGCAGAAAACAGAAATCTCTAACCAGGGATCTCGTACAACTTCCATGTTCACATTTGCTTTTTTGACTGTATAGCTTATATATATGTATGTGTGTGTGTGTCTTGAATTCAACAAAGTTTTTACATAAAATCAGAGCAAAAGTGTGGAAAATTTTTGAAAAATTAAAAAAATAATCATACTTTACCCCCTGACTGGGTGAGCTGCTAGACACTGTGGCTTATCGATTCCGTGGATAATTGAGGTTTTCAAGGAGCCATCTAGTCTTGCCACGTTAATTTGCGTTTCATCAAATTCTGAGCTAATCCAGTATAAATTACGTGAGACCCAGTCCACAGCTAACCCTCTGATACTCTGAATATCTGTAGAACAGGAAAGAGAAAATTAAAAATGAATGAAGTTTTTCATTCTTTTGGCTTTCTAAGTCAGTTATTTTCTGTCTCAGGGAAAATTTAATTTACACTATTAGTTAGCTAATATTGTACAAGACTGTAATCTCATTCCCTTATCAGCCCTTCTTAAGGCATGAATAATCATTAATGTCTTACTGCTGAGCCATTTGAAAACCTGAAGTAACAATTAGCATTGAAATCACACTAACAGTCAATGATTCACTAGTAAACACTTAGGAGCAGACACAGGCAGCAGTCCTATGAGCCAAGGTGACCAAAATTCAAATTAGAGTAATAGCTTCTCTAGTTGATGGTACATCTTTCTAGTTAGGAGAAAGTACTGTGGGCCATCAACAAATGGGCCATTTTATGTTTTAAATGCCAATTTGTTACTGAAATGAAATAAAACAATTCAACTTTCCAAAAAGAATTACCAGAGTTGAACATTTTTAAAATGGATAATTAACAGAAATTGACAGAGATATGAGCAAAGAAACTAAAGCCCTTTTAACATTCCTCCAATGTGGATTCTACAGAAATTACTGAAATCTAATTATGTTTTGATTCATTACATCCAATATGAATATTTGGGCTGCTATTACTTGATGATTCAATCAGGCATCTTTTTTAAAAATGATGGAATTTAAGCTAAAATATAATTGCACATTTAAATTAAAGAAACAAATTAAAATGTTAAAAACAATGGATACTAGGAAATCTTTTTAACATATTAACAGGTAAAGCAGGCCAATTTAGTTCCCAATCTGTGGCATTTGACTACTTTTACTTGGTTTCGCCTTTATTTCATAAAGTTTTAACGTTTTCTATCATGCTGTACCTCTTAGGGTTCTCCAGACCCCTGCTACTCAAATTTATAAGACACCTGGAGACTCTTAAAAGGAAGATTCTGATTCAGTAGGTCTGGGGAGGGTCCTAAGATTCTGCAAGTTATAACTAGCTCCCAAGTGCTGTAGTCACTACTCCAGAGAAGCAGTTCCAATCCAAATGCTGCTAGAAACCCAGAGCAGCTGCTACTTAGCTCTTCTAATTGCTACATCTTCCCTTTTTATCATTTTCAAAAGATGCCACCAAGCTAGATTTCCAGAAAGCAAAAACTCTGGATTTGTAAGGTCTGCTAACTAGTTCAATTTTTTTTAAAAAAATACATTTATTTATTTATGCTTGGCTGCGTTGGGTCTTCGTTGCTGTGCGCAGGCTTTCCCTACTTGCAGCTACAGGGGCGACAATCTTCACTGTGGTGCGCAGGCCTCTCATTGCTGTGGCCTCTCTTATTGCACAGCACGGGCACTAGGCGTGCGGGCTTCAGTAGTTGTGACACTCAGGGTCAGTAGTTGTGGCTCACGGGCTCCAGAGCCCACGCTCAGCAGTTGTGGCACATGCGCCTAGTTGCTCCGCAGCATGTGGGATCCTCCTGGACCAGGGCTTGAACCCGTGTCCCCTGCATTGGCAGGCAGACTCCCAACCACTGCACCACCAGGGAAGTCTCACTAGTTCAAAATTTAAAGGAGCAAAATAAGGGAGGCCTGGCAATTCTGGGTCAGCTGTGAAGTGCCGTGCTGGCATGGTAGGCTCTACCCCAAGTTTACATCCTTGAGTCTTAACAGAGCCTGCTCAATATTCTTTTTATTATTTCTAAATAACTTTTAATCACAGTGCCCTTAAAAGGGATTCTCCATGTTTCAATTTCTCCTGTAAGCAACAACTTCTCATTCTGCAAGTTACCTTTCATCATTAATTTCTTGTAAGGTGGCAAATTTTGCATGTGAACTTCATTTCTCAACCCAACACTTGAAATTTACTTTTATTTTTAGTTATTCTCATCCAGTTCCCTCTTTTCTCAAGGGAAGAAAAAGTAATACAACACCTCTGTAAAGCTAAACCTGCCAAGTCAGATATTTATTTGCCTCACCCAGAATATTTATTCTTCCTCCTTCACTCTCTGGACTTAATTGGTTGCTGAGAAACAGTAATGAGAAGATTTGGCTTCCTGTTCTAGGTTGGGTGCCTATTTTTTGTCCTTAAATCGCTTAAATTTTGGCCTTTTTTTAATCAGCAAAATGAGGATAATTATAGATAATTCATAGGATTGTTGTGAATATTAGAGTATGTGTGTTCATGCAGCTTAATTCAGGGTTGAGGGATACTTTGCCAAACCAAGGACTTAATACTTTCTGCTTTTTTACCCTGAATTGCTTGGTACTGGCAAAAATAAAATAAGTTTTTATTTCCTCTAAAATACATGTTATCCAGAGTTTGTTTGGTTTTTTTCCGCTGTCTCTTCTGCTCAAAATCCTTTAACTTATTTCTGATTGACTCTTAATCATACAGCCTAGAGAAGACATTGCATTCTGAAACTGGAAATCATAGCCAAATGTAAGCTATGAATACCTGTTTAGTCCTTGTGAATTCTGTAGTTCATGCTCTCTCAAATCTATTTCTATCTTTACTATTGCATAGCATACAGTCTTTTTCTTCTTTCAAGCAGTTGATTTAGTTGCTGCCAGGTTATTTTTCTGACTAGAGAGCTCTGGATCATGACCTTTGGTTGCCCCAAGGTATTCTATTCCTTCCAACCACTCAGAAAGTGATACCTAAATTCCTTAGCCTGGCTTTCTGTATAATCTGAATATAATTACCTTTCCAACCTTATTTCTCACTGTTTTTAGCCAATTATCTTATTACACTTCAGTCATATTGATGTGTTCTCAGATTCCCAGCCTTGTCCTAAACTTTCCAATCTGTATAGAATTACCTGGACCTCACATCCAATCACAACTTCACTTTTCTAAATCTCATGCAGAATAGGCCAGCTGATAGGCAACATCATCCTTCAACCACAAAAACCTAATCAATTCTCCTATATATTCCAGCCATAAAGATTTTCTTTATCTACCTAACTCAGCAGGACTATATCTGGTCAATCCCTTTCTACCTAATGTGATAATTATTTGTTAACATACTAGTACTTTCACATATACTTCTTGAAGGTGGGCTCCTTGCTAATTTATCTTTATAGCTCCCCACCCCAAACGTATACAACATTGCCTTCAAAATAAATATTTTTAATGAATTGATGAATGAATTCATGATATGCACAATCCATAATTTTAAGGATATGTGAGCTGAGCTAAAACTATCAGATGTAAGATCCTCAAGTGTATTTTCAGGAGTACATATCTAAACATATACTCAGGCAATCTCAATTCTCATTTTCTATCCTCACCCTTTTCCTGTCCATTAGTTTGGAGCTTCTAATTATCAGCTTTATGCCTAAGATAAATTTTATGTCTTTTTTGACCACCACTAATGCCCAAGTCTCATTGTTTTAGAGTGTCCTGGTAAATTCACAGTAAAGGGGTGGGGGGGAAGAATAAAAACTGCAATATGTTTAATGATATTTTTCTTTTTTTAATAAAAATACTAGAATAATGAATTGACTCAACTCTTGTTTTCAAGTAAGTCAGGCCAAGACCTCTGAACAAGTTTCTCAGAAAGTTCAATTTACTATTTCCAGGGACTCTCACTTCTTGAAGAAAGGCAGATTAGATATTCATAAAAGCCCTCCATTGCCACAAAATTCCCTGATGTATATTAAATTGTAACTTTTAAATGCATTGTTGAGATCATAAGACAGACAGGAATATCTCTAAGTGCTAACACACACTTGTATGTTAGCTAAAATCATAAAGGAAGGGAAGTGGGAATACAGATTTGGTGTTGCCACTGGAACAAAAACTTGTAATGATAATGTACAGATTCCAGGATTATTAGTTGCTCAGTGCAAGAGGATTCAGTCCTTAAACTCACAAAAAGTAGCAGAGCTAAACAAGAGCAATCCCAGGATATCAGAAGGATCTACATCCTTGGGTGAGTGGGAAATAAAAAATCTGCCTACTTAAAAAGGAGAATAATTTTTAAAATAAATATAAAACATTTTTTTCTGTCTCTTTCCTGGGTATGAAAAAAAAATTCTAAGCATAGGTCTACACTTAGGTAAGAGATTAATAGTATATAAACAAGGTATTCATTGGTTGGGTAGAGGAGAAATCAAACTAAAGCGATTCCTGGCTTATCGTCACTCCTTTTCCCTCCAACAAAAGCAAATTCAAATCCTCTATGGAAGAAAAAAAATTTTTAACCCAGGCCCTCACAATTACCATAGACTGAGTATCTCCTCATAATTGATCAGAACAAAAAATTAAAACAAAAAATTAAAAGAAATAAGACATAAGACCAAGAATAAAGAGAAAAATAAACAATAGGTTTAAGTCTCCAAAGCCTACATGTTTTAAAATTATTATGTGTAAGATAAAGAAAAATGCGTGGAATGTTTTAAAGAAAAATATATGCTTCAAAATAATAAGCAAGGTACAATATTTTAAAAAATCTTCTTGGAATATATATAAATGAGAAGCAAAAATAACTTGCAAATATTAAAAAAAAATAATTCATTAGATGGATTAACCAGCAGGTTAGACAATATTTACTGCAAGACAGCTAGTGAACTGCAAGACAAACTGAAGGAAGTTAGCCAGAGAAAGCACAGAGAAACAAAAAGATTAGGTGAGTTGGAGGTTAGAATGAATAACCTACCATACCTAGTCAGAGTTTACAAAGGAAGGAATAGAGAGACTAGGCTAGAAAAAATGGTCAGATTGGTGACCATTGAGGGTTTTTCCTCCTGTGCTGATGAAAGACATGACCCCAAAGGAAGTACAACACACTTTAGGTTGCTAAATAAAAATATTATCGGGAGGAAAAAGAAGATCTTCAAAGCGTCTAGAGAGAAAAGACACATCCTGCAAAAAAGAATGACAATTAGACAGAGATTCTCAGCAGCAATAAGAGATGTGAAAAGATAGCGAAATAATATCTGGAAAGGGTTGAGAGAAAGTAACTCTAAACTTGGAATTTGTACTCAACCATCATTGTCTTTCAAACTACACTTA